CTACCAATCGCAACACACAACTCAGGTCTGCACCCAGGGAGCATCACTGATGACAAACCGATGTGTCTCTATGGCCTGAGCACACAACTACGATTCAGCGTCCCCGTGAAAAGAAGAAAATGCAAATGGTGCAAAAAGAATTTTTCTGTCCTACTTCGGACAGGAGATGCCACAAAACGACTTTTTGGATCTATGAACTGTTCATTTGAGGATGACGTACTTCCATTTCCAACGTTTCCACAAACTGGACGGTGCCCTGGAACTTGTGTAACAAAGTTTACACCTACTGCGAACCGACACAGGATTTCATCACCTGCACAGCCTGCAGGGGCCAAAAGATGACTCCACACTGTAAAGTCTGGAAGGACAACCCAGACTGTGACAACCTGCTTCTGGAGAGGAGTTTCAACATCACGCATAAGAAAAAGAGGAGACAGGAAACAACACTGTGCAGCTCCATAGTGCCAGGAGATTATGGCTCACGGATGTTGGCAGACTGGTACTTCATATGCGGGAATGAAGCGTACATGTTTTTGCCAAAAAAATTGGGGAGGACTGTGTGCTGTGGTGTCTCTAATCAACCCGATTGCGTTCATCAGGAAAGCACAGAATGATCTACACACCCGCTCCAAACGAACAGAGGTCAAAAGATGGGGAGGCCTCACAACACATACTGGAGTTCCATGGGAATTCAGGATTTGGAACGGCGGAGAAAAATTCATGCAAAGCCTGTTTTCGTGGATTGGAGTAAGTGAGATTCGGGACCACGTTGAGATCAACAGATATGAATTACTGCGACTCATCAACAGTACACAGCCAATGGCACCATGAAAGAACTGACTGAACTGAGAAACATGGTTATGCAAAACCGTGTTGTCCTGGACTTTCTCACTGCCCCTCAGGGAGGGGTCTGCAAAATCATTGGCCCGACATGCTGTACTTTTGTGCCTGATGAAACAGGAACTGGAGGAACTATTTCTGACGCTCTATACGAGCTGGAAGATTTAAAACAGTATGTGGAGAGTGGAACACGCGGCTCATCCTCTTTTGATTTGCTTTCATGGTTTACATCTGGACCATGGTGGGCTTTGCTGCTAAAGCTCGTGACACCTGTTCTGATTGTTTTAGTTCTGTTCTGTCTTTTTACGGGTTGCATTATTCCTTGTCTACGACATATGATGTTTAAAACAGTTAACACAACTGTTATCAACTATCAGCTGGCAAAGGCATCTTATGAGACAACTGAAGAAGACTTGTTCCAAGTTTCTGACGATTTTCTGAACAATGATGAAGTTCTGTAATCAATAAACAGATGAATTCATTTGCTGAATGACTCCTACAACAAGTGGTTGTAGAGATGAGAAAACTGCATTTGATTTTTGCTGTTTCTTTTATTTTTCATTTATTGCATTATATTCCATTTATTCATTGTATTTTTTGGGTTTAAATTAGAAAAAAAAAAAAAAAACTTTTGCATTTATTGGTTCTTTTCTTTTCTATGCTTGGCTTTTGCATAAAGTTTACACACATAGTAAAATGATAAAAAGGGGGGAAATGATAGAGATTTTTGGTATTATCATTTTGTTATTACTTTAGTTCATATTCAGTCTAATGTTAATCAGTATTATTGTGATTTTTAGTTTAAAGTGTTCTCTTCCTTATGTGTGTATAAACTGACCTGGAGGTTACGACTGTCTGTTTATCTTCATGTGAGACAGTCAAACTCTGTGGTTCTCAGACCTTAAGTTCTTCTTGTGTTTATCTACCCTTTTCTTAGTTGATAGTTTGACCTAGACCTGAACTGGGCTCAGACCATAGATCAGATATCACACCTGGTACTGGGTTGTTCGTTGTTTAGGTTAGAAGTTTTACGACCTTTGTTGTTCTTCCTGACTGCCCCTTTTGGCTGTTCTGCTTGGACAATAAAGCAGGGGCTCACACGGAAGCAGACCAGAACTCTCTGTGAACGGCTTGGAGAAGCTGCTATCGGAGACTTCTCCTTTTGCAAAAGCTTTGTCATAAAATTCATATACGTTGTCTGTGGTTCTTTTATGTAGGTTCAAGAAAAA